AAATACCATGATATCCAGTGTCAAAAAAGTATTTCTTAAATCTCCTATAAGAATTCAACTTTATAAAGAAATGCTACCTAACATTCCTCTTCCACCACAACCTATTTTAACGCGATGGGGAACATGGTTAGAAGCAGCTAATTTTTATGCAGATCATTTTGTTAAAATAAAGAACATAATTGATACGTTAACAGATGAAAGTTCCCAATCTCTTTTGGATTCTAAACAAACTTTTCAGAGTAACTTGCTTCAACAAGAACTTTCATTTATAAAATCAAATTTTAGTTTTGTTCAAAAAACAATTACTCAGTTAGAATCACCAAAACTGTCATTGTTCGAAAGTACAGCATTAATAAAAGAATTTGCGTCATGTTGTCGGAACGTTAGAGGTAATATTGGAAAAGATATTTTAAAAAAATTTGAAGCTACTATGGAAAAAAATAAAGGTTACCATATTCTTTCTGAAGTAGTCAGTGTTCTAGCTGGAAATATTTCGGAAACAGTTAATTTAGAACCAAATGTTTTGGTTAGTTTGAAAAATGCTCCCGTTACATCAGTTGATGTTGAACGAAGTTTTTCCATATATAAATATATGTACTCAGACAGAAGCCACAAGTTTTTGTTAGAAAATTTTGAACACCACTTGGTCATTTATTGTTACCATAATTCTAAATAAGTTTATTCATACTTAAAAATGATGTAGTTACTTAAAATAAATGTAAATCTTAATGAATAGTAGGAAATATTTAGTTATGTACACTTTTTTTTTAAATAAAATTGTTACTATTTTACGATTTTTTTATTTATTTGTATGCATATTTTGTAAAATATTTGCATATTTTCGGGTAAACACGTGCATATTTATGCGCATATTTTCTACATTTTTATTTGCATATTTGCCGAAGTCTACACATTACACATCCACGAGGATATCCCTGGTACAACTATCATGGCAGTAAGTACGAAGTATAAAACAGTTACTGATCATGGAAATCAGAGCCCAAGATGGGAAGTTAGAATATGGAATCCCAGTCGCTATCCCAGGAATAGTAGACGGAATCTTTGCCAAACAAACAAAATACAATTCTCCAATATGAGAATTGGTACGTGGAATGTGAAAAGCATGTCTAGTCAAATGCACAACGTTCTTCAAGAAATGAGCAGATTCAAAGTAAATATATTAGGAGTAAGCGAAACATGGTGACATAACTCTGGAATACTTTGTACGACTCTGGAAGCACTGTCTATCACCATAGACATATAGTCGCCATGTTTGCCAATAAAGTGAATAAAGCAGTAAAAGGTTTCGTCCCGATATTCTAAATATTTACACCAAACCCAATTTGATTCAGCTATACTCACTAACGACAGAAGGAAAGTAAGATGAATTAGAAAAGTTCTATCAACATAAAAGTAACTAAGAACAGGGAAATGCAAAAAAAGATATGGGAAAAAGATATGCTAAATGCATGAACTAATAATTATAAACGCATTATTTAAATTACTTGACTATATCATGATTAACGAGAGATATCGTAATATTATCAAAGCAGTGAAAACATATCCATATGCAGATGTCTCATCCGATCATAACCCACTTATCACCAATATTATACTTAAACCTTAAATGCACCAAGAAACATACTAATATCACATATAGAAACATCAACAATGGGGGATAAAAAAAGATGTCTCCTCGATCCATTGATAGATCCTGTAAGGATAAAAGAGAGCTGGATGGACAACGAGATATTAAATATGATGAAACAGCATAGACGAGAGACGAATAAAGACATCTTTCAAATGCAGAACTATTAATAATGACATCAGAGAAATAAAAGAATGCAAAGAATATCGAAGAAAATCGAAAAATCAAAGAACTTCAGAATAACTATGACTTGAACCTACATAAATACGTTAGAGGAATGGCAGTAAATACAACGAAAAAACCATATTTTGTCACTGTTTTTTTTTGATAGCCCTTTTTCTATCCGAATTGTCGAATAAAGGCCTCTCCCATTTCTCGCCATTCATCCCTGTTGTGTGCTAGGCGTTTCCACATTGGTCCTGCGACTCTTTTGATATCGTCGCTCCAGCGCATTGGAGGTCTTCCTCTTGGTCTCTTCGCATCGTACGGTCGCCAGTTTCCGACTTCTTTGTTCCATCTACCATCTTCGAGACGTTCGTTGTGTCCAGCCCATTTCCATTTTAATTAGCTGCTTGTTTCGCGGCGTCCTTTATTTTTGTTTTGTTCCGGATTGCTTCGTTCGTTTGCCGATCTATTAGTGAGATACCAAGCATCTGTCGTTCCATGGCTCGCTGAGTTTTTCTAATCTTGTCCATGTTCTTTTTTGTGAATGTCCAGGTTTGAGCTCCGTAAGTGAGAACGGGAAGGATACAAGAATCGAACACTTTGGTTCGAAGGTTTTGGGGTATCTTTTTGTCTTTCAGTATGTATGAGAGTTTTCCAAATGCGGCCCATCCCATTCTTACTCGTCTGCTTAGTTTGGTTTTCTTTGTTTACCTTGATATTCTGACCTAGATATATGTATTCTTCTACATGTTCCACTTTTGTTCCTTGGATGATTATCGTCGGTTGATCATCTTTATTCGACATTAGCTTAGTTTTACTCAGATTCATTTTCAGTCCTTTTTTTATGGATTCCGTATGAAGCTCATCGATCATCGTCTTCAGTTCTTTCCAGCTGTCGGCTATTAGTACTACGTCATCTGCATATCTTAGATGGTTTAAATACTTTCCGTTTATCGATAGTCCCTTCGTTTCCCAATTTAGTGATTTAAAGATGTCTTCAAGTGCGGCAGTAAATAGTTTTGGAGATATGGTGTCTCCCTGTCTTACTCCTCGGTTGATTTTTATTGGCCTCGTTTTCATTCCGTTATCCATCGTGACTACCATTTCAGCCTGTTGATATATATTATGTATTAATATCCTATATCTAGAATCTATTCTGTTGTTGACCAGTACTTCCTCAATAGCCCATAATTCTATGCTGTCAAAAGCTTTCTCGTAGTCTATAAATGCTAAACAGATTGGTAAATTGTATTCGTTAACTTTTTCTATTAGGACCTTTAGTGTGTGAAGATGGTCACATGTACTGAACCCTTTTCTAAATCCGGCTTGCTCTACTGGTTGATATACATCGAACTTTGTTGTCAATCTATTTGTAATTATTTTTGTGAATGTTTTATAATGTTGTGATAGTAGTGATATTGGACGATAATTTTTCAGATCTGTATTGTACCCTTTTTTGTGTATTAATATTGTGTTAGCAGTATTCCATTCCTTTGGTATGTTTCCTTCAAATAGGCATTTATTAAAAAGTATTTTTAGGTACCTGATGACTTCTTCTTCGCCTTCTTTCAACATTTCTGCCAGAATTCCATCACTACCCGTGCTTTATTTCTTTTCATTTCTTTAATTGCATTTTCTATTTCTACTTCGCTTATTTCGGGCATTACTTCAGAATTTACGTTTGTTATTTGTCTTTTCAGATTTTGCTTTGAAGAGTCGGGGGGATCGTTTCTTGAGCGGTATAACTCAGTATAGAAGATTTCAACTATGTTTGATATCTGAGCTTTGCTTGTTACTAGTTGGCCTTGTTGATTTTTCATAGTTATATTTTTCTTTCCTAATTTCGGTTTGGTATATTTCAGACTCCGATTTTTCTCTATCACTCTTTCTACATGTTCTTGTTGATGTTTTTTAATATCGTCTTTTATCTGTTTTCGTATGGCTCGATTAAGTTCTTTGTATTCTGTGGTATTTCTTTTGTTTAGTGACAGGAGCTCTTTTCGTTGTTTCAGCATATTCTTCGATTCTGCACTTATTTTGGATTTTTTGTTGTTATGGCGGGTTGCTACTTCTGAGCTAGCATTCAATAGTTCTTTTCTTATAACTGAGTTAATTTCATTAACGCTGAGTTATTCTAGATTCAGTGCTTGGGCGGTTTTTAATTTACTAGCATATTTTTCTTTATCGACTTTTAGCTTTTCTGTGTCTATTTGTATCGTGTTATTAAAGTTAATTCTAAGTTTGCTATACTTAATCCTTAGTTTAGCTCCAACCATTCTGTGATCACTACCCAGAGACATTATTTATTACTGTTACATCTTCTACGATACCTTGTCACTGTTAGAAAATGGGAAAACCATATTTCAGACTGAGAAAAAACTAAATCGCTGGAGAGAATGCATCGAAGAGCTGTTCGAAGACGAAAGAGTAAAAATAGAGCACATATCATTTGAAGAAAGAAAGGTGCAGAAATTACAAAGGAAGCTAAAAATCATTTAAAGAGCTAAAGACAATGGATCTCTTGCTAAAGTTATTAAATGTGATATATCAATCAGGAAATATACCCAAAGAATTGTTGACATCGAGCTATATTTTGTCTCCTACGAAGACACACGCTCGAGAATACAGCTCTCATACACTAAATATATTTTAAGATCATATTACATATTAATGAAACTGCAAACGAAATCGAAATTAAAAGAGGGGTTAAACAGGGCTATGTTCTGTCACCACTTCCCTGTAATGTATACTCTAAAGAAATTTGGAGAAGGACTTTTGATGGAGAAACTGCTAAAATAAAGGTCAATGGGACACGAATTAACAATATTAGGTATGCAGATGATACTGTTAATTTGGCAGAACATCCCGATGATTTGCAGAGACTAATGAACAGCTATAATCATAATAGTAAGTAGAGGGTTAAGACTTCGTTTTAAAATTTCTAAGAAATAAACAAAAACGTTTGTTGAGAACTCTTACACAACCATATATTTGAAAAAATGTTTAAGTGGTATAAACCACAAGGGCAAAACCCAAACCAACTTCTTCAATACTGAGGTTTGTAAATAAAAACGTTTCTTTTTGGAGAGGTTTGTTAATATGGTGTATCTTCTTTGTTTGCATCTCAATAACAACAAACATTTATATTCACTATAGTACAAATATTACAGTTGGTGGTTTACTACACTTACCTTGTGCGGGAGTTTTCCTAAAGCATTAAATATTGCTGCAGTTTGCTCTTTCTTCATTTTAGCGGGATCTACATGAGAGCCCAAACTGAAATAGACAATGCCTTAAAAGAAATGCATGAATTAGTACAGACGATTTAAATATAAAGTGAAACATAATAGTTGCAAGCATCCAGAATCGGTATTATGCAAAAATAGATGAAGGCACATTCAATAGATTTAGAAGGAATGGATGAAATACAAGAATTTGAGTGGTGTATTTTGTGACAGAAGATTCCAGTAAAAGTGAAAGAAGAATTAGGTAGTAGAAGTTAGTCTTAGTAGAAGTGAACGTGCCATAAGAGTAGAGGAATTTTGGGGACTATGAAACACACATTCGTATTATGTGTTTATAAATTACAAAAATGGAGTAACAATTGATAATAAAACATATAGATGACCAAATGCATTCACTTTATGGAGAAACATGTATCTGATTATTTAGATGCAGTCGCAAATAGGAATACATGAAATAGTGTTGTTAATAAAGTATGAATAAAGTTGTTTATTTTTTATTTGGCATCGTTATGGACTACTATTTACAAAAGTCGTAGGGCCTGCGTAGCGCAAGCGGTAGTGTGCTTGCCTCGCATGCCGGTGGTCGTGAGTTCGAATCCTACCGCCGCAAGAACAACTAGCATTTTTAAAATGTCTATAGGCCCCAGGTCGACTCAGCCTGAATAAAATGAGTACCTTGGGTAAAACCAGGGTAATAATAGGCGGTTGAAGCGTAGCACTGGCCATGTTACCTTCCTTGTATACCGTAGGCCCTAGATATAGCAGACTACCCTGCTATACTCCCAAAGCCGCGTGCGGTATAAAACGGGAGACTATTATTATTATTTACAAAAGTCGCATATGTACATTTAGTGCTCGTTTCCTGTACAGGCTTTATGTGCCTAGCATTCGCACATGACACATTGAATCCATATTACTATAGATAAAGTCACGTTCAGATGGCAGTGTACGGATATAGGATAACAGCGTTGCCAATTCTACTGCCATTGTAAGTTTTGCTACTTTTGTAAAATAAGCAGGGCCAAACTCACGGTAAACTAAGATATGTTTAGGTAAGCTAAAGTTGTTAATAGAAAATTCGTGAATGAAATAAATGGTAATAATTCCAAAAATGCTTTTATACATAATACCGCAGTTAATAGGGAAAAAAATATGAAAAATATTCTACAGGTTTTTTAATGTTCTAAACGGTAGATAAGGGATAACTGATGATAATTCCTTGAAGAATTACAGCCAATTTTGCTTTGTTTATTTTTTAAAGAAAGATGAAGTTTGGAAAAAATCATTTTTTTGCCTATTTTGTTCCTCGTGCATTTTAGGGAAAAATGTTTCAAATAAATGTTGCAGATCTTAAAAAGTTTTTTAATTTTTTAGTTTGTAAATTAAAATACATAAACAAATGACTGAGATAATTGCAAAAAACCCCTAATTGAGGCCCCTAGAACACAAGGGTGTAAGTGCAGTTGCTTATCACTTAGCAACTGATATCTAACAACAGGCACGTACTTTTGGCTTCAAACTTTCTACATTAACAACAATAACACCATCAAAAATTACATGTCATTGAAAACATGCTGAAAACTGAAAAAGTGCTACCTAGGTTTTTAAATTTATATCGAACTTTGAACAAAGATTTTTCAAAACTTTGTTTTTGGCACTTACACCCCTTGTGTTCTAGGGGCCTCAATTGTGCACTAATTTATTAAATGTTCATAACTTTATTTTTTGCATAATGACGTCTAATATAACTACTTGAAATTATGTCGATTAATGAGTTATTTAAGTGTGCTACATTTCAACCAGATCAACTAAATATTTTATTACCTTTACTGAGAAAAGAATACCCCCGAAAAACAATTTTCAATCATCTTCATTTTCATAATCTAGTTCATCTTCAGAGTCATCGTTTAATGAAATTCTAATAGGTTCAATGTCATCTTGAATGTTGTCTACTGTCCAAAAATTATTCTCCAATTTTATAACATGGTTGACGTAATTTTTCCAATGTCCATTGTTCTGTACTTTATCATAACCTTCATAAATCAATGTTTTAACGTCGTTTTGTTTGAAACTTGAATTCTTAGAGGACACGTACCGTTTCACTTCACTCCACACCATTTCTATTGGGTTCAGTTCACAGTGATAAGGCGGAAGTCTTAAGATATGTACATCTACGCGGCATTGTTCGTCACTGTGATTCCTGTATTTTTCACCAATACAATCAATTTTGTATTTGTCATAAATATTTTTAAATACATTAGCAGTTTCCAGAAGTTCATTTTTTAAGTAATCTTCTTCAAAATAAATGTCCTTTTCATAGAGCCACTCCTTAATTTGACGTTTCACCCAATATTGTTTGGGAAAATTTAATTTCCTAGAGTGATAAGATGCATTGTCCAAGATAATGACATTCTTTTTATTTTTTGGGAGATTCGGTATTAACATCTCTTCAAACCATTTTTCAAATAGATCTCCGTCCATCTCTTCATGGTAATCTTCAGCACCTTTTTTGGCAAGAAAAGTGATGTCAGCACCTTCAACAAATCCGTCTTTGTTTCCTGCATGGACTAAAACAAATCTTGGTCCTTTTCCGGTCGGAGTTTTTAAACCTGTGGTAAGTCCATTTACGAAAGCCTGTCGGCTATTTTTTATTGTTGTATCTTGCCATACTTGCCCATTGGTTATTCCAGTATTAACCCATGATTCGTCCATATAAATGATATTGGCTCCTTCGTTCCTCAGTTTCTTTATTTCCCGGAGATAGTGACGCCTCCAAGCGACTATTTCTTGTTTTTCTATTAATATTGAATTTCTACCTTGTTTGCCATATATAAAACCCATGTCGTGCAATAGTCTTCTCAACGTACTCTTGGAAAAATTCGGAAGATGCTCCATTTGCTTAATTTTTTCTAGTACTACGTCAAGGGTTGGAGGAATATTGTCCATAAAAAAACCGTGCACTACTTGTCTTATTCTAGACCGAGTTGCTTCATCATATCTATTCTCACGACTATTCAAATAACCGGTTCTTTTTTTTCTTATAGGAGTTACGAGTGGACCATTTTTACTTTCACTTCTATATCGGAATATCGTTCGCTCAGAGACTCCAGTCATAGCAGAAACTTCCCGCACTATTGTTGATACACTTTTATCATTATTACTGTTTGATAAATAGTTAAAAACATTTAACACTATTTTTTTGCATTCACTATTTAACAAATTACCGTTTTTGAATTTTATTACACTCGCGGCCATTTTGACACTGACACGACACAAACGTCTGATATCAACTGAAAATTCTTTTAATGACTCTCAAGTATTTACCTGAATTTATAATTGCTGGCATTAGACAATAATTTTGAATTTATAAATAGGTATATTTTTTTAATTCTAAATTATTTTTTAATGTCTGTAACTGTAAATGCAGGTAGAGAAAGTGTGTCATTAAAAGGACATTAAGATCAAAAACGGATTATACAAATAATTATTTCATTTCCACGAATTGTAAACAATTTTGAACAGAAGATATAATTCCGAAAAGACCAGATTTCCGAAATATAACTTTCTATTTTTAAAATACCAACAGAAAAATTATATAATTAAAAAAATGTAGTATTTTTTCCGTTTCACATTCATAAATATTTCCGAAATTATAATTCTTTTATAGGAGCCGGCCCATAACGTACGATTGTAGGTACGATTAAAAACTGACAACAATGTAGTTATTTCTGGCATATAGAAAGTACAGGCCTATCTCTGTAACGCTGCCATCTGAATGTGAATTTATCTATAGCTTTTACTTTTAGGAAATAATACTTAGACTACGGGAATATCGTCGACCGAAGAATCTTGATCGTTTATTGTGGATTTTTTTCCAACTAACTTGGTCGGTAGGAAATTATCATCGGAGGAATCTGATAATTTTGAACTAAAAGTTGTTGGCTTGGGTTGTCTGCATAACTTCTTGGGCATGGACTTGATACCAATAGATCCTGGTGTGTCATCATCAATTCTTCTCACAACCATTTCTATTACCGAATTGCCACATTTTCTGCCATGTATTCCTTCTTCCTTTTTAAGCTGTGATAATGGAACAATATCTGTGGGAAAGACAGTGATATTTAGGTCCTCGACTGATTCTTTTCTTGCTTTATTTGGCAGCTGACTTTCTTGTTCCGAAAATATATCACGTCTAACTGGATAAATTCCAGTAGCACTAAAGTCTTTCACTGCTCTCTCTCTAAATGTCTGTATTCTTAAATAGACATTCCCAAATAATTGACATATATCGAAATGAGTTATCCTTCTGTTAGTGGTTCTCATAAAAACTTCTTCACTGTAATAAGTTTTAAGTGCTTCCATTACCGTCTTATCGAGCGGTTGCATTTTGTGCGTGGTATAAAGAGGCAAATAAATAATTGACACATAATAGTGAACAACACGTTCCTTAGCTTTCTGGTATGAGTATGATGCCCATCTAATACCAGCAGTACAGGACTGTCTTGAGTGGGTTTGATGTGTTCCAAGAAATAATGGAATCGCTGGGTAAACAAGCCCGTCTAGATCCACCCAGATGGGTAAAAGGTGAAGAAAGACCCTGGTGGAGGCCTTTTTTTTTAGCAGCTCGCTAGACTTTTTCCGTGGAAAAATGATCATTGGGGGAATGAAAGTCCCACCTGAGCTCATACAGAGAACAACTTTAACCAGAGACCCTCTTTTTGCTGAAGTAATTGCACCAACTTGCCGCATTAAACCCAACTGCTCTTGCCATTGAAGTGCATATAGGCGTTCTTACACTGATAGTTTTTTTATGTCGTTTCAGAAAGGTATACAGCTAATCCTTTCCAGCAGTTTCGTTCAAAAGGAAAAACGTATGCTTTAAATTATTCAATTATTCCGGTGGCTAGCTGAAAAGCATTTCTACGTACGTGCCGGCGTGTGAGGCCGAAATACTTCCGCTCTATTTCTAGAAGATTTTTTACCAAGTAATATCATCATAAAGGCCATGGCGTGACTTGTTTTTCCTTTGTAAGTGTTCATTTTATTTATATTTGTTCCATTATGAATGAGAGAATCTTCTAGCAGCATCCTTTGGACGGACAACACGGGCTGCAACAAGGATAACAACACGGGTAGTATACACTATATATACTATGTATATACTAGTATATACTATGTATACTATCCGTACTGTTATCCCTACTACAGCCCATGTTGTCCGCCCAAATTGTGCTGCTAGAAGATTCTTTAATTCATAATGGAACAAATATCAACCAAAAATGAATACTCACAAAGCAAAAATAAGCGTCAGCATGACCTTTATGATAATATTGACACATTACTTTAATTGAAATATATAAAATGTCTATGAACTACTCCAAGTAGCGACAAACTTTATTCGTCTGTTGGTAATTGTTATTTCCGAGTTCTGTCATGTTAATTTCGCTTCAGTGGAAGTGGAATATATTTTTTTTAATAATCTTTTGTCTATTTTAAGTGGTTGTTTAGTTCATAAACCAATTTGTATTCTTAAATCTTCATTGGCGTAAGTTGATGTCTTTGTATTCAATATTTCACCAATATTAAGTGTCTTTTAAGATTCTTTTTGACTTTTTTTATACATAACCTCTAAGCCATGTTTCTTTTTAATCAAGTGTAGATGTAGCTAGAATCTTGTACTGATTTAATTAATTTATTTTACTTATTTAATTTGTTTTTAACACAAGGTTTCTTATTTTAGTTTTTTGGCCTTTTCACCTTATTTTGGTGGGGTTTTCCGAAGCATGTGGGACATAACATGGTCTGATATTAGTTCATCTACGTTCAACTACAACAACAATTCAACAGATTTGCATTTAAGATAAGACAATGTACACTTAAGAGACTAGCGTTGGTAAAAGCCCAAAACAATCGGCTCCCAACATCAGTTGGAGTTATATTGTTAAAGACTGACAAAAAGGGACGTCTTAAAAAGTGAGCAAGGCCAATAGAATGACGATAATTTTAAAATTATGCAACATTTTTAATAAAAGAATTTGTTTCAAACTAATTTTTGTATAAATGTCAAAAGTTCAGAAAGAAATAAAAAGCTACAGACTTACCTTCTTTGGCATTGTCCATGATAACTTTCAAATCCTTCGGTAATTCTGTACCAGCCATAATATGCATACCACCAACATTTATCATATTTGGTACCAGCGGTACTGGTTGGTTTATACTCTCGTGGCCATTTAGCAAAACAAGGGACACGTTTGCAATTAATTCTTCTATACTTGGACTCCCAGGGAAATTTTGTCTTAGTATTTCTTGTTGTGCAGGATAATAAGATAATTGTTGAGTTATGATATGGGTTAAAGTTGTTAACATATTTCTAAATCTTTGTAAAAACGTCATATTTTCCGTAAAATCAAGATGTAAATCTGGTATGTAAGATATCGGATTAGGATTGCCCACCAAAGGATTCACCCAAAAATTTGCACCAATTGTACTAATAAGAATCACAGGTGCATCGAAGTACCAACCTAACACTTTCAATGCATCGTTGCAAAATTGTTCCATAATAACTGCGTCGAACTTTTGATTGGAGTCTAACAGTTTCTTAATTTTTTTATGTTCCAATACAGCTTTGGATAGCTTATGCCCAGATTGGTATCCAGAATATATTGCAACTTCTGGGAGAACATATTGTAAATCGAAAAAGTTAAAATCTTTCTTTCCTGAAAATAAAAATAATAAACACAAGGTAATAGGCGCTAACAAAATAATGATGAATTCTTTGCAAATGTATGTCCATTTTTAAAGTATAAAAAGAAAAAACAAAAAAAAAAAACAGATTTTCTCACAATTGGTTTTTATTGTAACTGAAATGACGGGTTTATTGATTTTACAAAACATACCCGCTGTAAGCACAAGCACAGTACATTGCTAAAGAATTCTTTATTCTTCATAGCTTGTTAGAACTTCAACTGTTTATACCGGCTATCAATACATCTTATATATACCCGATACAGATACAATTTGGTTGATTACTTAGACAAGAAAAGAGAGGACAGGTAGTTCATTTAATAAACCTTCGAAAAGTGAGGCCAGTTTTAGTTGAGGCATGTTTAGGAAACTAGACCGGAATGATGTCGACATCATTAGAAGAAAAATTTATAACATGTATGAATAATAAATGATCCCCACATTAAAAAACCATCATGCATATGTTGCTGAAAGTTGACACATGAATCAAGTGCTGCAGTGAGACAGTAAGGCAATGTCTTGTAAAAAACGGCTTTAAAATAAAAACGATCCATAAATGCCAAGTGATTATGGCATCTGCTCATCTACAAATATGGAGGACAGATTTTTTAATTAAATTCATAAATACAGGGAAAGTGGAAGAGAAATTATTTATCTGGATAGGACGTGATTTGACATCCATGACGTTCCAAAATGTGGTTGAGCAGATTCTTCTTGGCGCTGTACAACAAAAGCTTTATCAAATAAAGGAAAACGTATTACAATAATCCATGCAGGAAAAAAATGGTTTTACACCTAATGCTTTGGCCTTGTCATGCAAAAACATTAAGGACTCCTGTCTCCACTATCATGATCATACCACGTCAGAATTATTTGAGAACTGGTTTTCAACTTACTTGATTACTAACTTTCAAGTTATTGCCAAATATACTACCAAACAGTGTAATTGTGATGGACAATGCTAGCTACCACAGTCGTAGGTTGAATAAAGTTTCATGTTGTAATGACACCAAACTTACAATCCAAGAATATATGCCGGAAAATTATATACAGTGCGTTAAGTTTTTGATTAGGTATTGCACACTATACGGAGCGCTAAAATCGGCAACGTTGCAAATGTTCGTTCTCCGACCCGAGACTATCTCATATCTCAGTATCTAAACCGACTAACCGACAGAAAATCATTTATTTTAGTTTAGTAACTCACAACAACGTTTGGGATGTACTTCTCTGTCGTCCGATCTCATGTTTCATTACGTATAGCCGATTTTAATAGTAGGAAATTCGATAAAAATGCACTGACTTAATCGGTGCATTGTTATCGATTTTTTATTGTGAAAATTTTTTTGTGGTTGAATTAAAAATAAAAGCGTATTTCTTTAAAAAGATAAAATAAAAAATATACTCTTATTGAAAATTAAAATATTATTCCTAATAAAATAAAAAATAATTCTTTATGACCTACAGAAATGGTTCAAATAGTTGACCTTCTACGGCTGAACAGTACCCCAATCTGTCATAAAAACTTCTGCGAACAGATGAAAGAGTTTCTGCTGTAACAGAATTGGAGACTTCCCTTATTCGATTTTTTAAATTCATCCAAATTTTGGGCTCTCGCCTCAGGATGATCGTAGATAATGTTTTTAAATGTCCCAAAAAAAAAGAAGTCCATGGGTGTAAGATCTGGAGATCGCGCAGGCCACTTAATATCGCCTGTTCCACTGATAACTCGATTCGGGAAAGTATTGTTTAAATACTCCCTAATAATTCGAGCGTTGTGAACTGAACAGCCGTCTTGATGAAACCAAAAATTCTCCAGATTTACATCAGGAAGATTGAGAATAGCGGGAAAAACATGATTCTGTAACAAATCGAGGTATACTCTACTATTCAAGTTGCCCTCAAGCCCTCAATAAAAAATGGACCTATTATGTGGTCTCCTAAAATGCCAGTCCAGACGTTAACTTTTTAAGGACGTTGAGTTCGGTAAACAACACTTCTGTGCTGGTTTTCCCGCACCCAATACCTCGTAATGGAAGGATTGTGTCTCCCTACTAACGAAACAGAAGATTCATCAGTGAATAAAATGTTTTTAATAAAATTTGGTTCACTATTAGCCTTCGTTATTAGAGTTTCACAAAACTCCATTCTTCGAAAGTAATCGTCTGGATAAAGCTGCTGCGCTTTCGAATATTTAAAATTGTTGTAACCGTGCTTTTTCCATACTTTCGTTACGGTAACATTGCTAACATCTAACTCTCTAGCAACGCTTCTACTTGAACGTGTTGAATCTACCTCGATTGTTGCACAAATTTGTGTATCCCGGTATTCTCTTTCCTTAACTTTTTCTGGTAACACTTCTTGAGCGTGACATTTTCTGCAATTTTTGAGGCAATAACAACTCTCAAACTTTTTAAAATATTATAAATTGACTGTACACAGGGAATTGTTCTTCCCTCAAAAAACACAGAAAATAAATCTACACACTGTTGCGCAGAATTGCCACTATAATGACAATATGACAAATTTGCCGACGGGCGACGAGCAACGACGAGTCAACGAAGCAGATATCAAAGAATATAGACGCTTCTATATAGCGTCTATATTCTTTGCAGATATGTAGTGCAAGTCGACGACGCGCGGTGTTGCCATTTATAGAGTGTATACCTAATCCAAAACTTAACGCACTGTATATTATGAAGATAATTATTCTAAAAATCATTTACTTGAAACTTTAAAATTATTTTCCACTAGAAAACAATATTATTGCGACAGTTTGGCAGAAGAAATGGGCCATACAGTATTGACTTTCTCCTTACTATTACATGTTCAATCCGATTGAACACAATATGGCATGAGCTCAAGGCATCGGTAAGGAGTAGTAATATTTCGCCCACCCTAAATTCATCTATTGTTCATCTAATTGAATTAGAAATGGAGAAAATAGCCAATGACAGCTGGAAAATGTTGCCCTTGTTCTAAAGATGGAAAGATCTTATATAAATACAGATAGGTTGCTCAAAGAAACAATTACTATAGATCTAGATAACGACAGTGATAGCGAAATTTTGAATTGTATTTATAAATGGTAAACTTTCTGTGTATACGTAATCTATGTAAATATTTTTAAATTCAGTTTTAAATAATAAATATTAAAGACTCTCTTAGATATCTGATAGGACTTTACCAAGTTACTTAACCACTAAAAAATCTGTTAAAAAATACGTATATTTTGACATTTTGATTTCCACTTTCATATCCATTTCATTTTCACTGTGGAACATATCAAAATTTGTTTACTATAGCCTTAATAATGGCATAATTTACACTTAACCAATCAATATCAATTTAAGCAATCTTTCTTTTCTGTTTTTAGTGGTAAGTAACTTGGTTATTAAATGTTCGACATTAGATCTTCTCTTCTTGTGATAGCGAAGGCAGTTCTAGTGGAGGACGGTGAAGATTTTTCTAAAGATGTCTCAGCAGAGCATTAAAACGGATTAGCTGACGCTCCAGCAGATAGTGGAAGGGCAGAAACGCTCGGTCGTGATGACGATAGAAAATTATTTGTTTGTTACATGAGTTGAGACTGATAGGGAATTGGCACAACACTTTGGCCAATATGGTGAAGTTGAAAGTATAAACGTAAAGACAGATCTCAACACTAGTAGATCAAGGGGATTTGCATATACATACATAGTATTTACTACAAGAGAAGTCACTGACAAAGCTGTAGCTTGAGGTGACCATGTCATTAATGGCAAAAAAGTGGACCCTAAAAAAATCAAAGCAAGGCACAGAAAAATATTTGTAGGTGGTCTCTCTTCTGACTTGAGTGATGCCGATATTAAGAATTATTTCTCACAATTTGGACCGACATTGAAATGCCATTTGACAAGTAAAAGAAGCAAACGAAAGGATTCTGGTGGTGAGGCTCAGGGCTGCCGATGCTCTGGGTTCACTAAAACACTAAGAAATGCCCATGTCTAACAAATAACGTGGAGAGAAATACACCTTGCCCCAACTGATTATGCATGGAAAGATCCAAGGAAAGAGAAGCATAGGGAGGCATATAATGTCATGGCTGCGCAACCTGAGAAAGTGCAGCCGTCTCAAAAGTCCGAATAGCTATGATGATTGCCGACCTCCGCCGCGGAGATGGCACTTGAAGAAGAAGAAGAAGAAAGAACGAGCGAACAAATCCTACCTCCACGTCCTCGACGTGATCACTGGGAAATACATTACAATGAGTGTAGGTCATGTAGATAACGGAGAAGGACGAAAAGCTGGTTTCCGGCGTCTAAAAATGGGAGCAGATCGGGGAGAAAGGAGAAAATGTCATCCTCCTGAGAAGAGGTTTAAGCAAAGGGACTGCTTTACTGCACTCGGAAAATATACGTTTTTGCAAATGTTCCCAGAAAAAAGTCATGAACACAGAACGATCATAAACACAAACTACATGGCAAACGAAAAAGAATATTGATTTTTGGTACATGGATCATACAAGGATGGAACACTAAAACAACAGAAATCCTGAGAGAAATAAAAAACTTTAAGGGTTATTATACCGTACTGACTGAAACCAAGAACAAAGATCAGTTTAGTGAAGAATTCCAAAATTTTAAACATATCTTCAGCTGCGTAAGTAAAGATAAAGATGCTCTTATAGGAGTCTCCATTCTGATAACTAACTGATAACTACATAAATAGAAATTTGTAACTGAAATATTTATTATTCTAATTAAGTTACTTACTGACTACTACATCATTCAAAAGCACATTCGTGTAAGTTCCTCCTAATGGTGGATTTTTTTCTTCAAAAAAGGCTACCATCGTAATATCATGTCCGGCCGCAACCATTTGTTTAGCCAGGGTGTTGCCTAAACTAAAGTGACTTTTGGATGGCATAGGAAATACAAATAAAACATTGTATGCATTTGTAACTGGGTTGAAGAAGAATATAAATGATAAACTGAAAATTAAAAATCGTCTTTCGTTCATATTGTTGCTATAAGGTATATCTACTGGAACCTTCCGCGAAGTGTAACATCGTATTAATGTTTTCGTGAATAACCAAAGTTCGTAAATTATACAGTTAGTTTACCAATTAAAGCTCGTAAACTGTTATTTTTTACGGTAAATATATATTTCATATTTATTTATTTATTTATGATATGACGATACATAAAATACAGAGATTTTAGTGGTAAAATGTATAGCCATAAATATTAAAATTAAATTGTAGTTATTATTAACACAATTACAAAATGTAAAACACATGTTTATGGCGATTTTCCACTAAGCGGACAAAACAAAAACACAAACTATTGTCGAATAAAATAAAACTGCAACTCTTCGCAAACTTTTTGAAGACTGGCAACAGTTGGAGTAGTTGAATATAGTTCGATAAGGTGCGCTGGAAAAATTGTTTCCCTCTTTCTTAATTGATCTATTTTTAGCACAAGATAAAAGTCGACTTTTAAAATAATCATATTCCGCTAATTACGGTACAGTAAGCCTTGAGGTATGCAATCCCAATCATCAGTTTTGTCAGCATTTAATTGTTATGTAAAAGAAATACTATTCTAATTAAATTCAGTTATTTTTGATCAGTATAGTTGTAAAAGTTATTACGGGGCATTTTAAAAAGTTCCTTCATAAGTGAAAATCTTTAAGTCGCTATAGCATCAAAGTTTCGAACTTGTCAGGATCTCTACTCAGGCGACGTCATAGCTTCAATTTCTTTAACACTTTGGCTACTGGCTATAAATTTGAAGTTTTTTGTCAGAAACTGAAACTATATTTTGGTAAAATTCACAATATTTAATACTAAAAACATGTAAATATCAACATTTAGGTATTTTTTTGAAAAAAAAAATCATGTGTAAGGGCCGTGTTAAAAAATGGTACACACAGTTTGTGGCAGAAATAAATGCGTAATTATCTTCTTAGAAACTATGTGTACCATTTTTGGACACAATGTTCATTTTTTTGCTTGACAGTAATGAGTGTCAAAAAAGCAGTTGGTACACAAAAACTTATCACTGCATGCTAGACAAGATGTTTTAACACGTTTTGTTTCTTTTATAGCAAAGTTACGTCCATTTCTAGCACTACTATTTTTATAACATCTTGTACAACGACCTCTCTGTTCCACTTCGGAAAGTTTGTGATTTCTTTCTTGGTTAACACGACGATCATCCAAATTTTTCATCTGAATATTTTGACTACGAAAAATTTCTGAGGAGATTTCTTCTCTAAATTTAGTGATACTTATCTTTTTGTTTGTTATAGCCTCGTATGCAGTATGTGCATTTATAATAGATGTGTTAACCAAAAGTTCAATTGAAACTTTCCTATACCACTTAATACCCCTACGCAGATGATGCTGATGAATATGATGCTTTTTGATCAGAGACGTCTATAAATGATTTCACATTATTATACTGCACGATTGTGGAAGGCTTTCTCACGACACCCCTTTTTGTTGGCACGTCCACTATTTCAGGCACAGACTCCATAGTGAGAAACATGACATCTCTTTTGTCTTTCCATTTTCCAATTATGATTTTACTGTTACTCTGTCTCATGACCAATTCACCCCTTTTTAATTTAGCCTCACTTACTACTTTTGGATTATGCTTCCTGTGTTTTCTCAGTGTGCCTATTAAATGTGTATCTTTGTTCAGAAGTTCGTGTGCTAAATTCACGCTAGTGTAATAATTATCTGTGCACAAAACGCGACCTGAATGTAAAAGTGGTTCCATAAGCTGTAGCACCACTTTTGTACCAATTGGCTTTTCATTAGGTGTTTGCTCTTTTCCTGTATAAATTTTAAAATTGTATGTGTAACCTTTCACTCCACATAGTTTAAATAATTTCTCACCGTATTTGTGACGCTTCCCCGGTATATATTGGCGAAAGCTCAGTCGTCCTCGAAAAGGAATCATCGTCTCATCTATACACACATTCTTGTCAGGAGTATAAATATGCTGATTGGAACTTCTTGATTAACAAATTTTGCAAGGGAAGGAATTTTTTTGAGCCTATCATCTGAGGCAATTTCGTTTTTTGAGAAGTGCAAATTGGACAAAAGAAGCTCAAACCTTATCCTGGATGTGTGAACAAATTTTCCAATTTCATTTTTGTACAGCATATTGGTGCTAAAATAATCTTTCAAAGTGGGTTTACGATCCAAACCCATCCATATTAAAAGACCTAAGAAAACAAAAATTTCGGATTGATTTGTGTTTCTCCATTGTCCCAATAATGCTGTTTTTGTTAATGTTTCATTTGTAATTCCTGATACTATTTTCTGTTCAGCATATCTGTTAGTTTCTTCGGCAATAAGTGATAAGATATCGTTGTCAATAAATAATTTATAAAAATGAATTCGATGATCTCCTTCCCTTTGTGCAAAAAAACTTTGGGAGAATCCTGAATCTTCCGTGAAAGTAAATGTGTTTAAATTACCTACAAAATTATAAACTCAAAACTATAAAAGTGAATACTAATTTATATATTACCTGCACAATTATTCCAAATGACATTAGGATTAGGATTATTTAAAAAATTATCAGGTTCAGAATCGTTGTTGAGAGATTCTAGATCAGATTCGAATTCTAACTATTGCCCATCACTGTTAATTTCTAAATTAGAGTGTTTACTAGTGATTGAGTGTGACTGTTTACTAGTGAAGATGATAATCATCATCATCATCTTCACTAGTAAACTCATACTCCATTTCACTCATATTCTCGGCTATTTCACGTAGTTCAGCATCACTTAATTTTTTATTTGACATTTTAAGTACTAATTTTAGAACCGTAAACACACAAGACTAATATTGCACAAACAACAAGTTTCTGTAAGTCAGAAAATGGCCATAATATGCCATCTGCTAAAGGAGTCTCAAACTGCTCCGCCATAATTTTAAAAAATCGGTCATAGTACAGCCATCTGTTGATTAAGTCCCAAACTGCTTCGCCAGAATTTAGCAGTAAACTGTAGGAACCTAGATACGCATTTAAAACCATCAGAACTGTGTTCACCAAATGTACACACAGCTTGAAACATTACCATTTCATGTGACCAAATTTGGTACACGCCGTTTCTGGTAAACATCAACTGTGTACCAGAAATGGTATACACAGTAGTCAAAGTGTTAAATAACATGTAAGAACCAATGAATATACTAAGTGACATATAAATCCGAATAGCCAGTAAATATCAATATTTCAGCCGCAGTAAAGATCCAAATTTGGCGGAATGTGGTTCTTCACATTCTTTACGATGCCTAGAGTACGGAGACCTGTACGATTTCGTCAACTTAGTGAGTTTGATAGGGGCCGTATAATGGGACTTCGGGAAGCTGGATTTTCTTTTCGGAAGTTGCAGTTAGAGTGAAAAGACGTGTAGACACCGTAGTTAGGTGTTGTCAGGCATGGCTTCAAGAAGGCCGTACTCAAAGAGGAAGGGGCACTGGACGCCGCCGTAGAACAACAGACCGTGAAGATCGCCGCCTAAGATTATTAGCCTTAAGAGACCGTTTCTCCACTACCAGCTCCATTGTAAATGAATGGTTTGCAGAACACGGAAGACCTATTGGCATGCGAAGTGTTGAGCATGAGAAGTTTTGGCCTGTTTTCATACCGACCACACTGGGTCCTCCCTTTAACTCCAGAACACCGCCGTAATCGCCTTCAGTGGTGCAGAGAACGGTCACTCTGGGATCAGGAATGAAACAGTATTGTCTTTAGTGACGAGTCTCGATTTGTTTAGGTATGTACGATGGTCGAACGAGGATTAGAAGGCGACGTAGTGAAAGGAGGAATCCATAGTTTTTTGTTGAAAGACATGTTCATCACACTGTTGGAGTTATGGTTTGGTGTGCTATAGCTTATGGTTCCAGGTCACCTTTAATCTTCATCAGAGGTAACATGAAAGCGCAGCGTTATATCCAAGAAGTTCTAGAACCTCACCTTTTACCCTATATTGACACCCTGACAAATCCAACTTTCCAACAAGATAATGCCCGACGACATGTTGCAAGAGTCACAATAGACTTCTTTCAACATAATGATGTCACATTGTTAGCATGGCCACCAAAATCTCCCGACTTATCCCCCAATTGAGCAGGTGTGGGATACGATGGGTAGGAGATTGCTCAATTTGCAACGTCCTCCTCAGACTCTACAAGCACTTCGAGAGGAGTTGGTAGTTGCCTGGAATGAGATACCACAAGAGGACATTGATCACCTGATCAGAAGCATACCTAGGCGCGTTGGAGAATGCATAACACATCGGGGTGCATCCACACATTATTAAAGGTAAAAGGGCTTTAAAGCAATGCAATCATTTTGAAATTTTAATCATGTACTTATTATGCTTCATTAAGTATTTATACAAAATTTGATTAAAATAAAATCATTTAAACTAGGTGTTCGGATTTCTATGTCACTTAGTATAGTTGTAATAATTACCTACAAGATGGATACATGGTGTATTTGGTAAATATCGGGTACAGTGTGAAAAAAGAATGGGTTGATAAAACAATTACATCTCATTGCGATGCTTTTGTTCGTGGTCTGACAACAGGATTAAAAGCTCCAACAGCTCGTGGTGCAGCATCTACCAGTGGATTTGTTGATGGAGCAGAGCTCACGTTTTTGGCAAAGAAAAATACTGAGGTCTACCACGACGAAATGGATGGACCGACCTTCGAAGATTAGTTTGAAAATAACTTAATGCTAAATTTGTCAGAAAAAACTGTTGTGGTAATGGATAATGCCTCCTATTACAGAAGAAAGTCAGAACAAATTCCCAACAATTCAACACTAAAAATAGATATATAAGAATGGCTTCTGTTAAAGGACCTGTTTTTTGAAGAAGACTACCTAAAATGCGAGTTACTTGATGTAGTTAAGGCCTTCAAAGCAAAATATGGCTGGTACCGTTGATTGAATAACCCAATTCAATCAACGCTGGTACATAATAGAAGC